GAGTTTTCACAACAAACCTCAGGGCATGGGTCATTGTTTCGTTTTCGAATACCGATCCTAAACAATCACCCAATAATGTGCCCATGAGACAACCTCGGAATTTACTTCTTAGTGAAATACTGGTCATTTGAACAGCTAGAGTGGTTTTGTCTTTTTTCCGTCGTTTTTGTAGAACAGTTTAAAGTCTTTTTTGACCATTTGTAATAACAATATTATATTTATATTTAATGAACCCTTTTATCTTAAATTATTATCTAAAGAACATAAAACTCAAATAAAATCATTTTGTCACATTATCTGTCAAACGATAGCCTTTAATTTTAGTAATTTTAAAATTGTTTCTGCGTACAGAATTCAAGAAACATTTTAATAAATAAATAATTTTTTGATACATAAATAATTTTTAACATATACCTACTGTTCTTGTCTTTTGTTAAAATGATAAAGTAAAAGAAGATGTACAAATGAAGTGAAGAAACTTGCTTTTTCCCTCTGTAGGGTGTAGATATGTTTCAGTCGGTTCCAGAATATAAACCACATAAAATACTCTTAAGACCGAACGCCGCAGGCAATCGATATATCGGTTGCAGTTTTATGCGTCCGAAAGCCGGCAGCCGAGGATCATAAATCATAGCTAACAGGAATAGTGCGCGTTCAAAGTCATGAAACAAGTGACAGCGAAATGAAAAATAGCAATTGCAAATAATCACACGAAATGGTCTGGTCTATGATTTTTTCCATAAAATATTTCACTTCTCAGAAAAAGGTACCTTAACTGAGATGCTCATTGATTACGACAAATATTTTGCCGACATTCAAAAACTGATTACTCTATCAGCATTAATCGGTTAGTCGCTTTAGGTGTATTATTTAAGGAACGACAAGACTAACGAGCGACAGAACCAGTGCAGTTAATTAGGCCAGAAGTTTCAATATTTTTAATTGAAAATAGAATCGGCAACATTCACTATCTAGTGATTCTACCTACCAGTCTGTAATAAGGATGGACGTCTTGTAACCATAATTACAAAAAACAGCAAAAACCCTGAATAGTTGACAAGCAAAGAGAAACGCATTTATTGAACTGTAGAAACATATAATAGTTAACATAGGGATTATTTCGATATATTTAACAACAAACCCTTGTCAAAAATTATTTAGTAAACATAACTCACAATAATGTTCAAGGTAGTCATTAAACGTTTCCGATGAAAACCAAAAACAAGGAAAACCTTCAATTGATATCCAGTAACGTATTTGCCAGTTACCAATATGTTCCAAATTTTTACCAGCTTTTACCATGGAGAAATTATTTATTTAAATCAAATTAAAAAATAATTGGCTGACAGATAATACGCATACCTATTGGGATCCGTCAAGTAGGAGGAGCTTAAAAACATGGCGCCGATTAGGGAAAATTTATCGTAGTTCCTATAGTGTACCGTGCACTTTCCAAGTTTTTAAATTACGATAAAATGATAAGTATTGACACAATTTCGTTGAAAGTGAGCGTGTTTTTAATGCCAATCACATTATAAAATTCGAAAATAACAAATCCGGAAGCTAGCTTTCAAATTCCGTCAAGTTTACTGCCTACTTTTTACAAACATCGGATTTAAAAAGTGATTCACGTTATATAATAGGTGAGGTGATTCTGAGTGGCAACGATAAAAATTTTCCAAAATGACTTGATAAACACAGAATATTTCATGTTTTTTATAACAATTTTCAGAAATGATATATGCACATCCTTTAAAGTGGACACATAAAATAACAGGTCAGCTGCGAATTCAATGCAATGCAAAGTCCTAATGGACTCGAACGAGAATCCTTTGATAGGACCAGCGCTGTGGCGAATTAAGCACGTCGGAGACCCAGAGTGCTAAGACGAAATTTTGTCCTTAATCTGCTCAGAAGTTGATTCTTTTGCAGTGTAAATTTTACATATGTATGTACCAACTCCAGCGTCCAAACTGCCTTTTTTATTAACTTACTGAACCTATTTTGTCCTTACTTAGGGTTGAATTAAAAAGGATTTCTTGAAATTTGGAGCCCCCCAGGGCCAGAGGCTTTCTCCGCTCTCTCCCTTAGTCCCCACTCGACAGCCCCCCCCGCCCGTGCGTCACCCGGAGTCGAACCGTTTCGGCTCTTGCGCACTGCGAAATGTGCGCAAATCTTTCAAACAGAATTTGCGCTCCTCCACTTATCAATTACTACGCCACTGTGATTAATTGATTACACGCAGTCTCATAAAAATGCGATAGTATATGTGAAAAGTAATCTTGTGAGGGTTCCGTTTTTTCACTTTCAAAATACAGAACCCTAAAAATTATTATTGAATAGAGAATTATTATACAGCGTTTAGTGAAGACAATACTAAAGCCGTATGTACAACTTATACATTCATAACATACGTAGACATACAAAACTACGAAAAAAACTTGGAACAAAACAGACGGTACAAACTAAAATAGAACGTGAAGCAACTCAAGTTAAAGTGACTTAGTAGTCTACGTAGAACGTTTTATAATGATAAATAATCTGCACCTTTCCGAATTAATTTATAATTAGTTTACCTAACTGTCAAGATAAGTTTCTTACCAAAAGAGATTTGTTTATTACCTATTATGTATGCAAAATAAACTACATTCCGTCGACAAAATATTTGCCCATGGAAACAAAAATTGAATTTTCGTACATTTTCCACAAAGTGCCAGTAACCTAATGAAGATGACTACTGAAAAAGATTTTAAGTTAGAATCGTTTCTTTCAGAATTATCAAACATCTATTCGAGTGAATCTGATGCCAACTTAAAGGAAAATATTTGGAAAGATACTAGTTTTTCAGATATCGATCATGCGAAACTATTACTGAAATGTTTGGCTAAATTCCATGCGACCAGTGCACTGTATCAACAAAAGCATCAGACATCTGAAAATGGAATTTCTAAAGCCTGCAAATATTTTTCTCAAGAACCAGCAGAATACATTAAACAAAATGGTATGGCGATATTTAATGAATTGGTCGAATTATCAAGCCAATTTCCAGAAATAAAAATGAAAAAGTCAGAATTTAGAAAACATTTTGAAAAATCACTTCACTTAATCTCGCACAATGAGATTCCAATTAAATTTCAGGTAATCTGTTGCATGATTTCGCCATGGAAGCAGGTAATTTTTCATTATCAAAACAGCAGACCAATAAACTGCAAATTAACCAACTTAACATCGATCTTCTATTCGTCACCTGTTTACGACGTTTTATTTGGAATATACTCCATGACCCTTCGAGAATTTCGAAAGTATAACTTGAACAATTTACTCGATTACTACTACAAATCGTTAGAAAATGAGTTTCTCTCAAACGACTTGATCTTGAAGAACTTTCTGGATTATCACGAGTATCAAAATCTTGTAAGACAATTTATACCACAAATAAAACTATCGGCATCTCTAACAAAGTACCAGATAATTAAAGAATATTATCATTTAAATAATAATAAAGGTGTTTTACTCGACCTTCTGGAAGACTTAGAAGAGTATTTTACTTACAAATCTTGTAGAGTTTTACCCGAAGACGTTCACAAAATTATAAAAAGTAGTTGTGGAGATATACAGTTCGAAATTGTACAATACCGCTTGGAATCAATGAGCAAAACTCTCGGTTACATGGGGGACTACAGTAAATTAATCGTCACCATTTTGACCGCCGAAGGAGAAAAGGTAATCAAATATTTCGCAAAACTATTTCCCAGCAATTCCCCTTTCATCGATACAATACGAGATTCGGAACTCTTCTTGAAAGAAATTTACATGTACACGGATATAATGGATGAAATGGTGCGTTTCGGCATAACTCCGATAAAAGATTGCCTTCCCCAATGCCACTTAGCAATCCATAATGAACTATTAATATTCGAAGACCTAAACGAAGCAGGATTTAGTACAGTTAATCATAGGCGCGTCCTTGACATTAAAGAGAACGCAGCAATTTTAAAAACTGTTTCGAAATTGCATGCGTCTAGCATAATGCTAGAAAAACATATTCCTATTTTAGAAACATTTTCTTACGCGCTTCATGACGGTCATTATGTTGATGATAAGCAGAAACCAGCGCGTATAAGCTTTATGTCAACTGTTAACGCATTGGCATATCTTATCGGGAAGAAATTTGGAGAAAATCTCACTGAATTCAAAAATTATGCATTAAATTTGTACGAGACCTCTGTAAATCTTCTCAAACCAACAAAAAAGTTTCGAAACGTACTGAGTCATGGAGACCTATGGCCACCTAACTTTTTTATCAAATACGACCCTTCTGGTATTCCCACAGACTCTCGACTGGTCGATTTTCAATTGATACGTTATACTGTGCCCGCCCATGATGTTTTGTTTGCCGTATTCTTCGCAACCACTCATGAGCATCGTAAAACATTTTTGAAACATTACCTTGATTATTACTATTCAGAATTGATTAATGTTTTAAAAAGTTACAACTTCGACAACAGCCAAATTATTTCTTTCGACGAATTCCTTGACGGGTGCAATTACATATTGCCCCAGGTAACGTTTCAAGTAGCGGCATGGTATCAAGTTGGACAGGTGTCTCCAGAAGTTATGGAAAAAATCAATCAAGGTGGAAACGACATAATGGAAATCTGGTATAAAGATAGAAGATCGTTTTGCGATTTTGCATATGAAACAGATTCAAATTATAAAGAGAAAACCGACGAAATACTTCAGACTCTAAAACTGATGTTCGAAGTCTATAAAAAAAGCGATAAAAGTAAGCAATGCCAGTACTTGAAAGAAATGTATGGAATACATTGAATGGGCAGTTTTTATTTATCAATTGCAAGATTGTAGCACTAAAATCAACTCGTGATGTATCTGACCGGTGTATCATTATTATAACAAACCTGTACACTTAATTTAAATAAAAATTCCTTTTTCTCTTGTTTTTGCAGGTTAATAAGGCTTTCTTAAACTAAATAAGTTATTTTTAATAATTCATATGTGATATGCGTATTTTGCAACGAATATGTATAAATAATAAGTGGTGTAGCTGACCGAATCGTAGATGTCGCTGACACCTACATACTTTTTTTTTCCTCATCTACTATGTATAAAATCAAATATTATTTAAAATTAAAATTATGCTAAAATATGAAGATTGGAAAAACTTTGGCGGTTGTTGTAGAACAAACANTTTGACTTTAATGACCAATTAATGACCATGGATCATGCTTATGCACCCAAAAAATGTTAAAAAAATACGGTAAATGTTTAATAGCACAACATGAATGACAGATGATTTGAATTTATAATTAAAAATTATTTGAATAACAATTGAATAAATGAAACTGTATCTGAAAACATAGATAATAGATATACAAAGGGTCTGAAACCATTGTGAACTGTTTGTGAACATAAATATCTATGATACTGTTCATAGACAAAACTGTCTAAACCCGTAGACAAGAATTAAACCATAGGTCTAAATCATAGACATGATAAACACTATAAGTGATGTGTGTCTCACTTGTAATCTCTTTTGCAATGAAATTTGTTTTTAGTGATGGTGATGGTGGTGATGATATAAAATAAAAATAAATAATAAATGATGAAATTCCAGCAATTTTAGAGTTTTTATCATCTTATATATATGCTATTCTGTTTGTTCTATAAAATTATGCTATATGTTCTGCATTAATTTCATAAACGTTAAGTAATAAACAATAAAGTAAGCTACAAATGGCGACAAACTTTCACTTTCTTCATGTGGGAAAACTTTGTATCAGAAATTAAAAAAATATATACTTTTTCTATTGCTTAAGTTTAGATTATTGTCACAATCAGTTAAAGTGTTTTATCACACCAAACCTGTATGTCAATCAACCTAAATTGATGGAAAAATATAAATTTGTAGTAAGCATTGGTATATTATGACTTAGTTCTTTCAGAAAATTACATCGACTCGCCATCTATCGTGAAAGTTCTGAAAATAAGTGAACAACAAGTGTCAATACGAATGACGAAGGTGCAGTTTTCTATACTCACAACTTGTTAGTTTGCGTTTATCAATTTCAGGAGCGCAGCAAAAATTATTAAGTAGGTACTAAAAAAACACTAATATTGCACTCCCTCCCAGAGTAAAAATGTTTTTGTAAAATTTTGTTAATAGGTACTGCTGTACTGTCACAGATTAAGAATTATCTGTCATAGATTAAAAATCACCGTCGTTTTTATTGCATATATACTATAACAAGAAATATAATTAAATATATTTCTGTATACCTACGTTTCTATTTTAGTTTATTTGAGTCAAGTACTATAATTAAGATATTCTAGATTTAGGAAAATAAGCGAAAGGATAATAAAGTAAAACCGTAATTTTGAAAGAGCAAATCATCAGGATAGGAGGATAAGCATTTCGGTTTTAGAAAAAATGTCCAATGAAAATGCTAACATTTATTAAAACTGGTACAAATTGTGTGTTACCTTTTTTTCAAAAGAAAGCCATTATAGTGGACGCCACGTTAAAAATAGCAAAAGAAGGAATAAAGGTAAATAGGGCGCACCTGATGACACGATTTGTACCCCGAAAATGTGTGTTAACTTTATGACACATAGAGCGACGAGTTTGTAACGATTTTCTTTATTATTTTTTTGTACAAGAATAGAAACATTTGTACATCGGAATCCACTTGACGAAAAATTGCAAAGAACACTTTACACATGGAATGCATGCCATGTGAACAAATTACCGACCTGTTTTTCGGAAAAGTGTCAAAAATTAAGCGATTCCAAAGCAGATTCTTTTATATTAATCGTTAATAAATATAGTTAGAAAAGCAGAAAGCAAAAATTATATTTGGAATTATAACATAACTAAAACAAAAGTGACTATAAACAATTAAGGAATTAATCACAAAAAGAGAGCGCAATATAAAATGGTTAAATAGTGTTCATTTAATAATGCATTTAAGCTGTTGTAAAGATATGTATTAATAGTTAATTAAAAGAGCCGTGCTTCTTACCGTTTCCTAATAGAGATGGCGCTTTATGGGGAGGAGCTTGTAAAAACGTATACAAATACAAGAGCAACTGTAGCCACGTCTTTTTATTCCTTTATTTGCACTTACCTTACAGAAACTCAATAAAAAAAGATTAAAATAAAGTAAATCCTCATTACAAAAGACGTGGTCGACAGAAGTAAAACCTGCGATGGAACCACTTAACTAAAATCTTTTAGACTTTAAGTGACATCCAAAAATAAAAAAAAAAACGTACCTTGTCCGTTTATTAAAAAACAGAAAAATTAAGAATCCACGTAATTATGAATGATACGTGAAGCTTTCTCGCATACGGAGGTGAAGAGAATCGGGCACGAACTGGGAAAACAGAGGACTGGCGGGAGGGAGCGTCAGTGACGAACATAGGTAACGGTTTAGGGAAAAGGTGCATCAAGAATCGCCGTTATGCAGCCGCTTCAACTTCCATTGGCTGTTCAGACATACTCTCTGACTTCTTCTTTTTCTTTTTCGCCGCTTTCGGGTTAGCAGAACTGCTCAACAGGGTTTTTAGCTCGGGATCGACGACGGAATATTGAGACTCGTACAGATCCGACTCAAATGGCAGGCCCGTTATCCGGTGTGGTCCATTGGGCATTAGCAACACAGTGAATTTGAAATGTGCCACGTATTCACCTGAAACAAGCAATAAAAGTTCAATAATATTGCACCGATCTTTTCGCACATGTCATCTTTGTAAATCACCCCGCCAATAAATATTAGTAAATTTCACTTCTTATCAATGGTAAATAAATAAAATCAGTATGATTTCGACGTACCCTTAGAACTTTAAGAAAAAAAAAAAATTATAGTTTTCTATGAAACATTTGGAAACATTATGAAATATTTTTTCTCTGCTTACGTTTAATAAATATTGAGTCCCCGCGTATCTTCCCTTTGAAAATTGAAAAATTCAATAAACATTTTTTTTTATTGTCACTATACATCTACTTTCTAAAAGCTTTTATCAGACAATAAACTTTTACTATTATTATAATAGATATTTCAAAGATAAAACTTTAAAAATTTAAAATGACAAAAATTCAATAAAGCAATACTGATAACTGTTTACATTCTTTTAAAAATGTTTCACTAAGTGGTAGGTTCGACCATTATTATCATATTAACACAGTAGACTCGCATTAGACCACCGTATACAGTGAACAAAGTGAACCTTCGGTTATAGAGACGGAAAAATATTGGCTTTAAAGCCCGATATTACTCCGTAACTGTAAAGCCCCGAGTCGTATTAGCTGGATAGATGCTTCACTCTTGTATTCGCTTCAGATAAGTTGTTTTAGTGGTTGTGTTATCTGCGTTCTGTATATACGGCCTATGTAATTTTCACCCCTACATATATAATGACACTTCCTGAGAAATCGTTTTAAGAATTAAATTGCTAATTATTACGTATTTAGCTAAAAAATATGGTGTCATATTTAATAATCTACAATCCATACCATAAAACAAGAACCAGGTAACAGAAAAGCATTAAAAGAGATCAGGGTTTCCAAGAATGAAAAATAATGTACAAGTGTTAGTAGCGAAATAATTAAGTCAAAAGCAAAATTGATTCATTCGCAAATAAGTGAAAATTACAAAAAAGATTACGTCCAGAGACGGAAGGATACAACACTTTAAAGAAACAATTTGGAATTACCTTTCCAAGAATTTCGAAAATAAATTTTTATATGTATTTTTAAGAATAAACCACACATTTTTAATAATGAATTGAATGATAAATAATTAAATTAAGAATAGGTGTGCAAAAAAAAAATTGCGCATTCCCTTTAATTTACTATATTACCTACAAAATATGTGCAAATGTAAATATTTTCGTTACTCAAAAATATTACTGTTGTTTATTTATTGCCCATTGTTAATTCAAATGAAACAACTATTTTAACAGTTCAAAATTACTATTTGCTAAAACTGCTGTTTTTTGTACGGTATGACAGGTGGACTTGGTGTCATTGTCTTCAGGCATATATAAAACAAACTTCGAAACATGTCTTAGTCAGTAAAATTTTGTACCTCATACAGTACATATTCTAATACAAAAATTAAATACTTGTAAAATGGCAAACAAAGTTGATCTTGCAAGTGAAGTTTTTCTTCAAGACCTGAAGACGTTTTTTCCAGCGACAGATTTCATTGGAGATGAAAGCGAAAATACTGTAAGGAATTTTATATTTGATAATAACCATTTAAAACTGCTGCTAGACTGTTTGGCAAAATTTCACACGACTAGTATACTTTATCAACGAAAGAAGCAATATAATGCTAGCGAAGAAAATCAGTATTCTTCTGAAGACCCAATAAATAGTCTCAAACATTTTGGTATGAAGAAATCGAAGGAAATAGTCGATTTACTAGACCAATTCACAGAAATAAAAATGAAAAAATTAGAATTTAGAAAAAATTTTGAAGAATCGATTCAGTTAATTTTGGACAAAGAACTTTTAGTGAAATTTAAGGTAATCTGTTGTATGAATTCACCCTGGAGACAGCTAAAATTTGAATATCAAAATAACAAACCAGTAAACTGCAAATTAATCCAATTAACATCAATCTTCTATTCATCGCCTGTTTACGACGTTTTGTTTGGAATATATTCCACGACCTCTCGAGAATTTAGAAANAATTTATTAGCAGCAAATATCTTTTTGCAGATAACTTAAAATTAATTCAAATCATAGTAAACTTGTCCAATTAAGTTTAGAGTGGTGGAGTGGAGTTTAGACTGGTGTAAATTGAATATTTTCATTCTTTCGAGTGACCATTATATTAGTTTTTTAGGATATGCAGCCTATTACATACATCATATTTAGAACCTAATTATTGTGACATTTTCAAAACCAACAAAATAGAGACCAACTTTTTTCATTTGCTTATATTACATATATGTGTAAAAAAAACTCTCAATATTATTGAACCTATCATGTAACCTGCCTTATGTCTGTTGAAAATGTACTCTATATAAATAAATGAAAATGGAAAACAACTATCTACTTGAAAGTTGAAATTAAAAACTCACCAACTCCATCTCCTGTACTAATCAGCACATCCATAGCATACACTTCGTACTTGTCAAATTCAAATTTTTCATGTTCTTTTCGTTGGGCTTCATTTGGGTTTTGAATTATGGTTTTTTCCCCATCTATTTTAAATTGCTTTAACTGATGACTTAGCATACCTTCTACTGGTTTACATTTGTACGATTCAGCCACCTAAAGTATGTCTATTAGATCTTCATGAAAACAAAAAAGCTAACATTAATACCTTCTGTACAGCATCAGTAACTGCGTATGTTTCAATGCCAGGTTTCAAAAGTCTCAAAGCAGCTTGTGATGCATAATGGGCTGCTAATATGACATCAGCCTTTCGACCAGTAACTTTTTTCTCAGGTGACGCACCTATGACAATTGTGTGGGCCACAACGGCAATAAAACCATCAATATGTGCACCTAAGTCTCTGAAAATAATACCAGCAAATAATACATACATATAAATCAGTGAAACCTGTTAATAACACAAACAGCCGCATAATCAGTTTATTCTTTTAACGTCATTTATTAATCAGTGGGATCAATTGGAAGTGGAAAATCATCACATGACTATATGTAATTAATATTGTGTACTAAAAGCAATTTTACTTACACTTTAGCTATATCCTCATCTTTTAAGATATAATCAGGTTCACTAGGCACAGGTGAAAAATGACAAACGCAGTTATTTACAGAAACACAAGTAGGAAAAGCAATTCCTTTTTTTAGCTCCTTTTCCTTCTTGAAAACTTTGCTAGTTTCTTCTGTCAAAAGCTGGTCCCCATATTCACAAATTTCCCGAACTGAAGCTCCAGCCACACACTTATCAAGCACCTGTTTTAAAACTCCTAAAAAGGAAATAGAATTCATGAATTTTACTAAATGCCATTTTAAATATACATCTATGAAATAAAAATTAGTACTCTAAACATTATTAAGGAAACTATTAGACAGACATTTGGAAATAAATACAAAAAAAAAAACTTTAAACAGAGCACATGTTTTGATAGCCGGCCGTAACCTCCATATGGCCTAAATTTGAGACTTCAATTTTCATCGTTTCAGTAAAAAAATCTACGGTACACAAGTCTGTCCTAAGAATGTGGGCTATTCACACTTACTATTTACGATTTCTCCAGCCATTTTATATTTGGTAACAACCAAATCTTCGGCGATGGTTTTCTCCGGGACATCTTTCTCGTCAGCCATTTTTGTACTTGATCCACCTGATACACATGGACGAATCGCCTCTATTACAATTTGAAATAGACACATCAGAAAAAAGTATACACGCAACTACAGATATGTAGGTACGTTCAGAAACAACCTACTATTAATAAGTTTAATAAATGTCTTACCAAATTTTTCATACAACACTTGAAAAGGTTCGATGAGTTTATGACTAATACACTCAAAGACTCCCATCTTTGCTTTCCTTTCCTCCTGAAAATTTCTCAAATTAAACGGCATCGTTCCAAACTTAGTACGGACTTCGCTGTAAAACATCCTAGATGTCTTCAATTTCAATTGGTAAATTTCGTCTGTCTTCTTATATATCGACACCCTAGTCTCACCCTCTCTGCCTGAAATATCGAAAAAAGAATATTTGGATATCTTACATTTTAAGAATATTGATTCATGAGGTATTAATTTTTAATTTTTACGTCACGATCAATCAGTAAGATCAATTAACTTCATTATTAGAAAATATGTACACACATATTACTTTATTTTGCGTCACTATCAACCAGTGGGAACAATTCTTAAAAGTTTTGTACTTTATTGGTTGGTATTTTAATCCATTTTGGTCAGTATTTAAGTATTGTGTAAGATCACTACTTCAACTTTGGTGAACAATGTTTAAATATAAACAGTCAGTATTTAAATCGAAGAGGTCAGTACTTAAATGCAAGTGGTCTAACCAATAGTAAGCAACTAATTAACCTAAAGGAACCAGCAGTTCTTAATCAGTAAGTAATTAATGTATTTTCTGATTAACTAATTTATGTACTAAATGTTTAGTACTTTTATACTGGCCGTTTGGCATTTTCATACTGACCATTTAGCATTTTTATACTGACCATTTAGCATTTTTATACTGGCTGTTTAATATTTTTACACTGAGCATTTAGTATTTGTATACTATTTTGGTAATAAAATTCTAACTGAAATTTGATTTATATACTGTCCGAAAATGGATTTAAATACTCACCATTAATTTGTTGCCTTTTTAGAAGCGAAGTTCCGAGAAAGGTCCTAGTTAAAATTCGTTTTTATTTTAATTTAAACATCAAATATACATTTACTCACATTTTTATTGTGCATCTTTCTGTTTAACTAAACATCTTATAATTTACCATCTTTAAACAACAATGTTGATACAGTATTTTATTACAAATATAACAAAAAAATAAAACGTTGAATAAGCAATTTAATTTAAATGCAGATGGGAAATACGAAAATAATGAAAGCACTATTTAAAAATACAACACACAAAGGAATGTATATGTAGCAATGCTCCAATATTTGATATTAAACAACAGAAACAATGAGCAAATTTAAACAGCAAATATCAACGAGAACAGAGATTTTCCATGATTATTTTGTTATTCCCATTGTATTATGTTAAAAAAACTTAAGTTTATTTGTATTTTGATTAAATTGTTAATCATATATTCAACATGTAAAATTTATTATCTTTGTCTCTAAAGTTATTTGTTACTTCAGGTGTAGGTCAAGGTTCTCACATTGGTCCTAAAGTAGTTCTTATTTTAATAAAATTTATTAGCAGTAAATATCTTTTTGCAGATAACTTAAAATTAATTCAAATCATAGTAAACTTGTCCAATTAAGTTTAGAGTGGTTGAGTGGAGTTTAGACTGGTGTAAATTGAATATTTTCATTCTTTCGAGTAACCATTATATTAGTTTTTTAGGATATGCAGCCTATTACATACATCATATTTAGAACCTAATTATTGTGACATTGTGACCACCAAATTAGAGACCAACTTTTTTCATTTGCTTATATTATATATATATGTGTAAAAAATACTTTCTCAATATTATTGAACCTATCATGTAACCTGCCTTATGTATGTTGAAAATGTACTCTATATAAATAAATGAAAATGGAAAACAACTATCTACTTGAAAGTTGAAATT